GTACTACTGCCACCGCTACTGCTACTGCTCCTGCTACTACCACTACTATCAGTACTACTACGACTACTACTGTTGCTCCTACTGCGACTGACTGCGACTGCTACTACCGCCGCTGATGCTACTGTTGCCACTGCTTCTGCTACACCTGCTACTACCACTGCCACTACGACCGTCACCACCACCACCATCACCACCACCACCGCAGCAACCCCCAGTTGAAGTCAACACAATCAAAATGTAGCAGCCTTCCAAGATTGCGAAGCTGGCGTTCCAGCTACAAGCCGAGAAGCAAACAGCCCTGAGAAAATAATACACTTTTAAACCAATTCAGCAGAAGATCAAGAAGAAACACGCCGAAGCCATCAGACCAAAAATCCACATCATCGTTACCACAACTTCCCTTGCCTCCTCTCCGAGAAGGCACATGTTTGGTCGCGTCAACAAAGCCTTGAGTCTGCAGCAACTGCTGAGCAGATACTTTGAGTGCATGCTCGCGCCGGTTACCAGGCGACTAGCTGAGCCAGCTACCACCTCCAAGGCGATGTTGGACGCAGAACGACCCATCAAGCGGACCAAGTGGTAGTACCTGCTATTAACGTACTGTCGACGGATCATGTCGCCACTCCATGATGTCGGGTGCCCAATGGATTCCATCGAGGCCTTAATATGCGCTTCTGTTTGGTGTCCACTTCCTTATGAGTGTGTGCAGCCCCTCCTTCTCCCTATTTTGCTCGGCACTCCCGTGGAATTCCACTTGCATCTCACCCGAAACTCACCAATCCGATCCCACAGACTTTTATCATTCCGATGGCCATCTATCTCACGAGGAGGGCACTTCTGAGCACTCAATGCATCCACAGCCACGTTGCCTGTGCATGCAGACCAACACGTAAAGCTATCAAGGCAAGAAGCTGCAGCTGGCAACAATCATGTGCCTACCAGGGTGGCGTAGGTTTTGCAAGCCGTATCGAAGCCGAATGAGACGGGGATGTATGGCGGGCACCTGTTGTGCTGCCGCACGCGAGCAAGCTTAGCAGTGGCGAACGCTGAGAGGCATACTTCAAGTCGCCATCGATGGTCTTGGGAGCACCGACGACCTTCGTCTTGCAACCATTAGCCTCACGAGCTGGCCGTAGTTCATAGTTCAAGTAAGTGTCTCAAGGCTCTCAAGGGAACCACACACTTACTTTCGCGTGTTGCCTTGAAATACTCCGCCAACACTGCGCCGTTCGTGTTCGAATCCTGAGCACGCAAAAACCCGGATATCTGCTTCGACTACACTGCGACAGCTCTTCGGGCCTGCAGGGGCCTGTTCGATGAGAGGCATCACTCAAAAGAAATCTGTGCTACATACGGGAGCATGATGGTCATGTTGAACGAAGGAGTTCCCGGGCTGGGCCGTGCGATTGTTGGCTTGCGAGCTTGCGAAGCCCGTCGATGCCTGAACAAAGAGAACGCTGATGCTGGAAAGGCTGCAACTCAGAGCCGGCTTAGTCGGGGCGTTGTCAAGCCGGCTGCAGCACTGCAGCAAGGGCTCATCCCCTCCAATCACGACCAACCCATCGAGGCCGATGGCGTTGCAAACCTTGAAGCACAAGAATGGCAGCAAAGCATTTCCAAACATTCTAAAAGAGACGCTGAAAGGGGAGTGGTGGCAGGAAGTCAAGGCCCTTGCAGTCATCGAGTCTTTGAACTGCTCCTCTGAAGCATGTCAGGTGACGGCTGGCTCTGGCTTCAACTTGCACTTTGCCTGCACCGCCACTGCAGCCTGTCCTCGGACTCGATCTTGTGGCGGCCGCTTCCAAGCATGTCGAATCCGCCTGTTCTTACAGTCGGCATCCACGCTCACTCACCCGCTTTTGGCAAGGCTTTGAATAAGAAGTGATGTGTCAGTAATTTTGTCGTCTGCATTCCGGGCCCGTGCACCTTCGGATTGATGAAGGAACGGAACACGTCTCTGGCTGGGGGTTTCAGAGTTCTGCAGTCTGGGGCTGCTGGAGAGGGTTCGGGCTCGAGGCTTCGGTTTCGGATGGACTCGAGGCTCGGATCGACGGCTGTGCGCGACGGAGCTCCTTTCGAGAGTCGCGGAAAGGGCGAAACGACGGTTTCCCCGACGCTTGCTGCAAGTCGGATGCAAACAGCTCAGGTGCACACCGGTATTGCGGAATCCATCCATGATCTCATCCGTGATCTCTACGAAATTGCCCGTGAAGATACCGTGCGGTCCGTCAAGAAAGCCGATCATGGTGGAATCCTGCAGCCAGCCGTGCAAGTTCAACGCGCAGCATCAAAGAACATACATGCACCATGCCAACTTGAGGGCCAGGGGCATGGAGAACGAAAGCTCGGTCTTTCTTTACAGAAGGACTCAACGGCTACACACACACGCAAACGCAGAGAGACATGGCTGCACTGCACAAACACTTTACAAACAATTACTGATATATCAATTTAGCCTCCCCCCC